GCCTCTTCCAACTGCGTCGTGGCACTCTGCCGGGAGGTGTGGGTTCACATTTTCGACGCTTAGGAGTTTAAGGCTTCAGGTAGACACTGGACGTAGCGTTTCAGGTTTCACGGAGTCACGAAGCATGGTTCCCGGCCTTCACCTCCCTTCCGGGAAGCCATTGCCACGTAACATGGCGAAGGTCGTACTCCCGCTGCCGCCTTTGGGGTTTTTCCTGTCACCCATGAAAAGTGCTTGTTTTGAGACAAAACAAGCGATGATGCTGAGACGAGTCCAGGCAAGCTTCAAAGTCGCGTTCCAGAGAACCACTCAAACCCAAATCACCCCCACCCCCCTGCCCCAAAGAAATGAAGCACAGCAACTCCCAACTCCCAAACCCAAGCCGCTTCTATCAAGAGACGTAGAGGCGGCAGAGCGAACCAGGGCCCCAGCGCCACGCCTGGAGCCGCAGCCGGGAGCATCCAGAGGAGGCCCTGCAGGACACGGCTTTGCTAACTCCACAGATTTGTGTGTGGTAACTTGCTGGCTTTTCAGGCAGGGGTGTGGTCAAGATATTCGGTCACTCGACCGGTGCACAGCTTTTTGCCGAATGCGGGTGGCGGGTAGTTTGGGAGAGTTTGGGTGGTTTGGCTGGGCACGGCACACCCGTCTTGGAATGAGCGGACATTACAGTGCGCCTTTCGGGGAATGGGTTTCTTCGAGGGATCGCTGGGATCTTTGGCATTCACGGAAGACTTGCATAACGCCACCCTTGCAGATGTTGCTCTAGGCCGCTACCACGCCCGCTCCGCATTTCAATCCACGAAGCTCATCCCGCCATATCTGGCCAAGCTGCGAATCTTCCCTTCTTGAATCCAGTCTAGGACGGATCAAGAGGGTGACTCTCTGATCTTTGCATTCAACTTCGGCACTCACGGTGGGCAGCGGCCGAGTTTGATGAAAGCGGCGCGCGGGCAATGACATCACCGGCCAACTTGCCTCCATTTGACCAACAAGACGCATACCATAAGCTTTCTTGTCCGATGTGGATGAGGGTTGCCGATGCCTTAGCTCATGTTGACTGACCATCACGTCTCTTCAGCCCACCGCCAGCCGCTGGAGCAATGCTCTGGTCTGGGCATCTCATTATTGGGCCCAACGGCTGACAACGCGCATTTGCCAGCCACTCCTGCGGCCTTGCTCCTGCGTTTCCATGCCAGGATGACATGTGCCTATGAAGAGCTGCTATCAACCCAAGCTCCCGAGTGCTCAAGTTACAAGTTGCCCCAGGTCCAGTAGCTTGCAAGCGATCATGTTTGTATCAACTCACGCACGAATAAACGCTCGCAAGCATGGCATCAGCATCATGAATGCACACGTCCACGCGGACACACACATCAATGCAAACAAACACCAATGCATGGTCACATCAAAAGTTCGCACACGCACATGCACACTGCACACCCACACACTTCTGCGCACACCCATGCACACATGCCCACACGCACATGCACACTCACCCGCCGGCATGCCAGCCTGCTTGCTCGCCCGACACGCATGTGCTGTTTCCCCGTCTACCCTTTTTGATCATCAGCATTACATCATACATCATTTGGAGTGGTTCGGCCCTTCATGTATGTGTAAGCTGTCCATGTGCAATGTTGTATACAGTTCCAGGATGTAATATGGGCCATTGCAGGTCTCATTTGGAGTTTCGCGAATGATCTTGGGCTCTGTGCAGAATATGTGGAGCGATAGACAGTGGTGCGGATTTCGAGTTTTTGTCTTGCATTCGCCCGAAGCGTGCAGCAAGAAAGGCACCGTCGGCAGATCCACCCTGTTTCCCGGCTTTCGCAGGACACTCGGCGCAGAGCTTCAGCAAATCGGTGACTACGCTGTCTGCCCGGGACGCTCGCGGCAATGTAGCATACTGTAGCTTTTGCGTGGCCACAAATTCGAGATTCCGCGAGCTCACAGTTCTGAAACTCAAGTCATTCACGCAGCTTGCTTGAGCGTTCGACATGCGTTAGACCATGGTGGCCTAAGGAGGCCGAGCTGGCCGCTGCAACTTGCAAGCAATGGAGACATGAGACTTCTGTACGATGGTTTCAGCATGTAAAAGGCATGTGTCCGAGAGTCCGGCAATGGATCCACGAAAGGAGAACAAGGATCCGCGAAAATGTAACAGACTTAAGCCTTTGGTTGTATGCCAGCCCTACCACAAGATAAGATTCCAAATGTTGCCTAATGCCTAGCCCGGACCCCACGCATCATAGCAGGCGAACCAGCGGCTTGAGCGAACGATGGACGAGCTGTGTGCTGAGCACTTCCTCGAGATTAGTGCGCCTGGGCCTCGTCCGCCTGGAGTCTTTAGATACTGCAGGGTTTGGTTTGTTTGTTTTCTTGGAGTTGCCATAGGCATGGAGGACCATCCATTCACTCGTATACGATCCCATGAGAGCCTCAATAATTGTAGTCTCCACCCCGGGTTTAGGGGACGCAGCCCACTCCCCTTTCACAGGCACACCAGCAACGCTCAAGAACGTGGCGCCTAAATCAAAAGCAGCTTCTGAACCTCAACATGGGGCGCGTATGACATTGGGGGTACTTCTTGGGGTCTGAGAAGGGGATCCTGCTAGTTGGGGGTCTAATACTGGGAGTCCCTTACTATCGTAAACCCCCATATTGCATCCTCAACCCTGAAGTCCTGAGCGAAAAGAGCTCCAAGAGCTCCAAGGCTCCGCGGCAGCTCCCCACCTTCTGGCAGCCAGCTCCCGCAGAGGCCGCCGTCACTTAGGTGGCCTACTTGCATACGGGGTCTCCGTAAGGGTCGGAGCATCTTTTAACTTCAATCCGTTGTGAGAAAAAAGGAGCCCCCTCGAAACCAACAAAGCACCGCAGAAGAGAGAAGACAACACATGGACCATCGTGGCATCCACGTTGAACGCCTCAGGTCGGGTGGCCGGAGTGGGTCATCTTGGGTCATGTTGGCATGCAGTCAGTACAGTTGCGTTCATGGCGCCAGTATGTCTGGATGTGCCCAGTCGCAGGGAGCTCATTGTTGATACCCAGCCGTATTGAGATCGAGGCATCCATGCAGTTGCTAACTTTTCGAATGCTGAGCATCGTCCTGTCGAACGACGTCGTGTAGTGCTGCTTGTTTCATGTGGGATGCCGACAGAAGTCTGTAGGCGAGATTTGTTCTTTCAGGCTATGTCTTCGACATTCTTCGACCCTACTAGATCAACAGTGTCGTCTGACCTGGTTCACAGTTCCGCTAGTTAGTTGGGGAGCACTTCTGGGCCAAATTCGCCCTGGCACCCTTGATACTTGCATTTTCCCCGTTTGTTGAAGCCGGTGGCCTTCACGGGGCTCGTAACAACGCATCCAACAGTTGCAGTTGGACAGCATGCTCTTGCGGCCTCCATGGCATTGTCACACACCCTTATCACATTGTCACAACAGCCAAGCTCATGCATATCGTAGGGAGCCCTGATAAAGGTTTCCATGCTCGTGGGGACTTCCAAGACCTTGCATCCAGGAATCTCAGTGAGTCCAAACAGTTGGAGTGCCAGAGCCTGCGCGAGGCTTGGACATCCATCTTGCTGTCGGTTCAGAGGATTGGAAGGTCTGTTGTGATGTTTTGTGAAGACCCAAACCCATTTTTTCCTCAAAGGTATGCTGAATTGGCGAATGAAGTGAACGCAGCGTGATTTTCAATCAGAGAGGCTAGGAGCATTCTGCTTGCAGGATCTGGAGCAGCTCAAAGCTGCCATTGCGAGGGAGCTTCCCGACCAGGCAGGGGCTTCCAGCGGGTTCGGGTGGTTCAGACAGGCTCAGAGCCTGAGAAGACTCCTGAAAGCTTGAAGCCCTAGGTCATCAGGAGATGGTGCACCACCAATGTGCACCACCTAGTAGGTTTCCCTTCCAATAACTCTTGCTTGGCTTCGAACTTGGAATTATTAAGCTCTACTGGGTTGTCAAGCAGGGCGGCCTGATTGGGATGTGTTGGTCGGGAACCGGTTGGGGTTTCCCAGCTCAGGAAACAGTCTCTGCCCGATCAATATTGAAACCCGGCTAGAACAAGTTGACGTGAGCTAGGCATTGCTGACTCGCTCAGTTCTGGCAAGTCAAGACTCAAGACCAGTCAGGATCAGCCAGTCCCCCAAGCAGCTCCGGCAAGTCATATTTCTGGATTGCCCCGTAGCGGGGGAGACGTTTGAAGTATCATAGTTGTCCACCCTGGGGGTGAAGGGTTGGTAGGTTTAAACTTAGCTATTCTCCTATCCCGGTCTAATTTGCTTGGGGGCGCACCTTTTGCCTGCTAAAAAGGGCTTCCTGGGCCGCTTCAGAATTGTTCCGGGGAACCGTGCCAGCACTGCTTTCAGACCCCAGGGCACTACCAATCCGTTTTGGGCGCCGGGCTCTAGGCGAAACAGCTCCTTTTGAATCCCCTATGTACCATTTGAATCCCTTTGACTCTCTCTCGTTGTCTTCTCGTTCTCTCTCTCTCTCTCTCTCCTTCCCTCCCTCCCTCCCTCCCTCACTCGTGGTGTATTCTTAATTTCGGTGGAATCACCCGAATTATCCTGAAAGCACAACCAATATTCCCCTCCCCCTTTTTCCTCTTCGGCTCTCTCGCTATCTTTTCTTGATCAAAGAGCGAATCCTCACGAACAAGAGAGCTCTTCAACCTATCAGGAGTTTTCCTTGCGTGTCATGCAGCGCACGGGTTCAGCTGGTAGCTGATTAATTCCCTGCAGAGTTTTTTAGGGAACAGCGGGACACACCACAACTGAGAAGTGAGAGCTGCTATCGGAACGCATGGATGGGCATCCCATCATCCAGAAAGGCTTTCCAACAAACATCTTCAGCCTCAGAGCTGCTTCACTAAGAATGTGCTTTGTCCTTTTCTGCAGCGGCTCCAGTAAGGGATTCCAAAAAGACAACAAGCTTTGGCTCAAGCCTCCGCTCCTTCTGCGACTGCTGCGCATACTGCTTGCTCCGTTTCCTCAAACCAAATGGAATGGACTGCTGACAGTGAGCAAGGCGGCCGCAGCCAGAGAGATGCAGCATACCGAGCTGTTTCACAGGATGAGATGCACAGAACTGGTCATTTCCATGGGTTGGGCACTCTCCCGCTGGTGGCCATCATGGCCAGCATTGCGGCCACATTTGCTTTGGCTGCTGTCATGTTGGCTCACTGGTTGACTCCCTCCAGGACCGAAAAGCCAGAGCTGACCGTGGACGAGATCCTGGTTGATGTGACAAAGCAAAATGGCTTGACTGCCAATGTAGAAGCAGGTGTGAAATTCGACAACGACATGTCAAACACCCTGTACAACAACAACGGCGCATACTCCACAGATGGAGATGTCAAGAGGATTAATGGAGCCTATGACAACAACGCAGAGAGTAAACACGGACATGTGACCAGAGCCAACGGTCTCATGGATAACAATGCTATAGGCTATGGTGATGGAGATGTGTTCCGGCAGCATGGTCTTTTAACGGGAGGTCGCTCAGGTCTGCTCGAGGATGATGAACTTCCCCCTGCTCCGGATAAAACGGATGAGGATGACAAAGCGATTTGGAAAGAGCTGCTTCAGGCCTTCAAAGATAAGCGGGCCTCCTCAAGGAATTTTACTCAGGCAAAACGCATACTTGCTGTTTTTCTTGCAATGAAAAGTGCTGCTAGTGAGAAGCGGAAAGCACATATTATGAAGGTTCTGAACATACTATTTGGACCATTCGACGCCAATGAAACTGGTGGAATCGACGATTCTGTCACTGCTGAGGCAAAGATCCTCAGTAATTTAGAGAGGCGGTGGCTGGAAGATGAGGTGGCAGCGCTGAAGAATCAGAGAGGGACGGTTGACAACGCAGTCCAGTTCCTGGCAGACAACTCTGACAGCGAGACGATCCGCGAGGCGTTGAATGCTTCTAGAAACGAAGAGCGGCTTCGCCAGAACCTGACGCGTGCAGAGCTTCATGCCGACCTAGCTGAGGTCTTGAAAGATTTGAGCAGCATGCCTGAAGACAAGCGTGTCCACATTGGGAAGATCCACATCCAAGTGAAAGAGCAAAGCGGGTTGCAAGCCAATTTGGGCGCTGGTGTTGACTTTAGTAATAAGATGCCTGGCAGTTTGCACGACAACAACAACGCAAAATCTGACGCAGGAACTGTGTGGAGATACAATGGTGCCTTCGACAACAATGCTCGTTCTACCGATGGCAACGTGCTTCGAGTAAACGGGGCTTTTGACAACAATGCTGTGACAAGGAATGGATCAGCTCAGCGGCAAAATGGCAATGACCGATTCAAGGAGTGATGCAAAGCAGACCTGCTTTGCCAAGCAGAAACAAAAAACTTTTGCGAGCCGGCCCGCACGACAAGCTTTCGGCCCAGGAGCAGATGGAGAGGCTTCCGAGGCCGCGGACAGCAGCGTCACTCCGGCAGGTTTGCCGTGTGCATGTGGGAATGCTTCATGTCGCACCCTGGAATGCTTCAGCACCTCATGGTATTTGAGCTAAGTGCTTTCGGGATTGCTCTGCCACCATGGGCCCCCACGGGAACCATTCCGACGCAAATGACAACCCAATAATAGTTTGATGATCATTGCTAAGCTGGCTTTAGAACTATGCCGGGATGAGAAGCTACCAGATATCCAGGAGCTACCCACAAGGTTTACTGATCTTATTCCCTACATCCCCAACCCGCCACAGTCCGAGACAATCCAAAAAGAATTCCCTCCTCACAAGAACTTGAAGGGGGGCCCTTGCGTGGACTCCTTCCGGGTAGCCACAGCCGTTGCCAGGCAGTCTGTTCGGTCCCCGCTGTCCACGGGGGTGCGGCAGGCCTCAGAGGCCAGCGAGCAAGAGCTCGTGGGCTTGGGCTTCAGATTGTCCGGGTGCTGAGAATAGGAGCGCTTCTCATATCTTCCTATTTGGGGCCTGGGCTTTTGAATATATAGGGCTTAGGGCCGAGCTTAAGTCGCGAGGTCCTGAGTACTCCTATCTGGAGCTCTGCTTCAAAAGGCCACGCTGCCGAAAATGAACCATCGGCTCTAAAGTCTGCAGGACCTGAGCCCAGAAGCCGTGCAGCTTGGACTGAGACAAAAACACCGCAACACCCAGATGAAGCAAATTTTCCCGGAATTCCTCAATGATTCAAAGGCTCACCACGAATTTCCCTTTGAGCTTCCCAGACGCCAGTTTCTGATTCCTCGTGCAGATGATTCCATGCATAAGTGCAAGCATAGCAAGTAGCCGGGCGCTTGCACAAGCTTTCGGCTTGATATTACAGGGCGCAGAATGACAAGGCGCCATCCTCGCAGAGCTAAGCCCTAAACGCATTTCATGTGGACATGGAAGGCCAGCATGAAGAGCCTGAGCCATGCTCCCAGGAGTGAGGGTCCATCGGGCTTCGGAACGGGTTTGTAAATCCGGGTTGGGGACTGGCGCTTAGGGCTAAGTGGCTTTCGGTGTTAAGTTCGAACTTCGAGGTTTGCAGGGCGCCATTCTTTCGAGACATAGCATGCGCATTGCCCAGTTGTATGAGTGAAGTTGAGGATGGGGACTTGGGGGAGTTCCAGGACATGCTCTCAATTCAGAGTTGCCGTCTCCGTAGCACTTTTTGATTCACAGGTCACTGGCCCATCTTGCAGATCAGGATTTGAGGCTCTTAGGTTTAGTGTGGGGGTCAAGCCTGCATGCTCCTTGGGATCCTCTGAAAAACCCCTGCACACCAGAGGCTCAAAGCATATTTTGCTGGCCGAGGACCCCCTGTGCTGTTCGATGTGTCATGCCTTTTGCGGGATGCCAGGAATGCTTCGAAGCTGCAAAGTTGCACCTACAGCAGGCTTCAAGGGTCAGAACTTGATGGTTGAAGTGTGGTGGTACGTGGCGGAGCTGCAGAAAATAACTCGACCGTGCGGAGCAAGATCGGTTAGGACCTTAGGAGATATTGGCTGCGAGGAATGTCTGAGGCCCTGGCCTTCGGCCATGGAGCAATACTAGCGCACAGGCTCCCTGGCAAGACCTCAGTGTATGTGTATGAGAATGACTTCTCGATGGGTGCCGTTCTCGTTACTTTTCCCGGCCTCGAACTTGAGCCTTAAACCCTAAACCCAACGAACATCCGATACCCTCCAGGCCCTCAAGCCTCAGAATCCAGCCCTCCCAGGAGACCCGGCAGCTCGAGATGGAAAGCGAAGCGCTCAAGGACGGGAATTTGGGGAGATAACATCCAACATGATGCAAAAACATGCAGTTCGGACGTTAGATTCATTGGAAGCATGAGCCAGCAAGCCAGCAGTTTGCTTCTCAACACACAAAAGCCAACTGCATCTCAGCAAACAACAAGGAATGTGTATGGTAGTGAGACGGTCATCCATCCGATGCGCAAGACGAGGGTCACAATGACACGTGTGCATAATGTTTTCTTGCCAGAGAAGGCCGACGCCAGCCAAGTACAGACTTCATTCAAATTCACTTCCCCCCATCTGCTTGCAGCGTTGCGTTTCGCGTGCTCTTTTTGCAAGCCTGAGCCTTCCCTCAATCGCACACTACTCTGTGCCAACCTTGCAGTCTGCAAGCTAAGGGCTAAAGGGAGAGGAGCTCTCCACATGAAGGGCGGCACTTGTCAACAATAGCCGCCCAGCCCCCCGAGCTCCAGAGGTGACAAGATGATAGAACCCCAACGAAATATTTCAAACAAACACCACAACCAAAGAGCCCAAAACAACAAACAGCAATTTCTTTTCGACTGAAAATAGTTTTGCTGCGGCACGGGTCTAATGTGTATGCAGAAACCACTAGGCACCGATAAGACGTGTCTCAGGGAGAACTGAAGAATGGGCCTTGTGACGCTGGTTATCATACCAGCAGCAAGAAGGGCTGAGTCATGGGAAACTCCTTCTGGTGACGCGACCGGTTTTGAGACGCCCACGGCTTTCTGCCATGATCCGGATACAGCTCGGCTACGACTTCGAGTCCCCCCAACGGGTCTGCTACAAGACGAACCTGTGCGAGCAGATGCGAGCAGCAAGTGGCCAGAACGAGCACAGTCACCGATGGTCTGTAAACTTTGCGTATGTCACACTCATTACCGGGAGCGGCATGAAGCCATCCGAGCTGTTCTGCTATCAGTCACTTGCGCACTAGTACTTTTTAACACGGACGCATGCTGGACTGTTTGGCAATTATTTGTCGTTGGTACGGAAAAAAACGACTAGTTCAACTGGCTGCTTCCCGAGAGACATGCGAGACCCCGTGCTACAGGCCACACTGCTGCACATGCAAGCAGAGCTTCATGCCGGCACGAGCCGTCTCCAGCGCGTGGAGGCTGGTGCTGCGCAGAGACAAGCTGCAGGGAGGGATTTGAAGCTAGGTGTGAGGGTTCAAGGTTAAGACAGGGGGTGTGTGGAGCACATTCCTCGTTGGGCCTGGGCCAGATCCCTGCCAGGAGGCAACCCACCTTGCTCGAGAGCTTGCCCAGGGCCAAGTACAAGGGTTCTTGCCAGCGCAAGGCCACAACAAATACAAAGATACTAGAACATTCCCTTCGTACGTCTCACTGCCTCACATGATTCCTACGGCATTGTGCCAGAATGCCGTCACATGAATCCCTCCTTGTGTCTGAGCTCCCTCAATGCAGGTCATGATCCCTTGATCCCTAGTCTTTTTTGAGATCCCACAGCCGTAGATTGTAGACAGAAAGTCGGTTCAGACCCTGTTGTACTCTCCTACCGTTTGGAGTCCTGCGTCTGTGTGATGTCTCTCCCGCTGCCCACTGCTTGCCGTGTGGTTTTCGCTGCACGCTCGGCCACTTCCCCCCGACCCCGTCCCGGCCCGCCCGCGTGCGCGAGCGCTTTGATTCTGTTCTGTTATGCGTGCACGCCAAGCCATTCGAGTGCTGGGGTCTTACAAGGAAGTGTTTTGGTAAGTGTCAGCTTGGAGCATCCCACAAGTTTCAACACCCTGTAATGGCCTTCATCCTTAAAGCATTCCAGGCAGAACAGCAAAGAGTGAAAGCAGCAGCAGCCGTGGCGCAGGCCCATGTTCTGGGGCGGTCGATTGAGGGTTAAAGTTTGCTTGGCGGGTTCGGTAATTCACGGGTAAGGTTCCTTGCATGAGGTTCAACGCTCCAACGGTAGCAAGCAGCAGAAAGCACATAAAGAGTCTGAGGTTGCTTCGTCTGGTCATGTCGAATCCGGACAACAGGTCCTGAAGTTCGAATCTCCGATTTTGCTCCGGGTCGACACGCTTGCCTTCGGGTATGCAATGCAAACCCCACAGATCCCAAATCCGAACCTGTTTCATCGCGTAGCATGAGCCCAGAGTCTGACACCCTGAGCACGAGAAGCCCTGGAGGGCTCAGCAGGTTGTTCCTGCAAGGCAGTGCAGCGGGACGAGGCCATCGCCTTCGGTGGGTCTCCTGCTTTATCCTACAGTAAGCCCAAGTTGTGGCTTGTCGGGCGTGCTTCGCCCAGCTATGCCACCGCTACATACCTTGCAAGCCGTGGTTCTCGGGCCGAGGGTATGGGATACGCCACAAAAAGCTCCTACTGCTTACAGAGTTGTGCTTTTGCAAGTCTTTTCTTGGGGACATCGTGGCATTTGGAGATTGGTTTAGCTTTGTCGGTGTCACTAAAGTCGCGGACTCCTGCAACCTTTACGCAGGCTCTGAAACAGGAGCTTCATCTCCAGCCGCCTGCTCAGTGCAAAATGAGCTCTTTCATGGGTTGAACTTAGCCGTCAACTGGGAGATCTTCACTTTGTCTACGAGGTCCCACCAGTCTCTGTGAAAATGCGTGAATTGTCTGTGCAGTGGTCCGTCAAAAGGGTGCCAACTATGTGGCTAGACGAATGACATCACCGAGTCCCCGAGCGCCCCGAAGAATTGGACTGGACCATATCGGCTTCGGGAGTTTTCAGAGTGTCGGGCCCGTGCCGGCTCCTGAAGTTTGGCCAAGGCAAAAAGCCGAGCTGAAAGATGAATGCCAGGGGCTCGCGGAGTGCTTTCTCAGTACTTGCGGAATTTGGAGGCTCAAGGCTCCTGGGCCTGCCTGAGAGCTTCAGGGTTCAACGACGCACTGCTGGAATTGAAGCCCAACCGATGACAGTGCATGGTAGACATGTTCACAAGTAAAGTACCCATGGTGGCCCTGATCCGGCTAGTCTATCTCAACAACCCTCCCATACTTACCGCAGGGGGCCTTGATTGTGATTTCGTTTGTTCCCCACTTCTCCATTCTTTCAGTCTTGCTTGCATTGCTTCTCATAACGCATTGGCCTGTATCATCTGCTGTGCATTTTTCAGCCAGCGGCG